ATATATAAACTGGCTAGAAAGAATGTTTTTTTCATTCCCTTAACAGGTATTAATATACAAAATAACCTAAATTATAATTAAAAACTATTAAATAAAAAGAATTTAAAATTTGAAACTACTGTCTAGAAATTTTTATATAGCAGGTAGGAGGGAGTAATTTGTAGCACTCCCCTTTTCATATGAAGCACAAGAATCTGTGTCACTCCTCTTTTTTGTTAAGCCCATCAATTCGTGGCACATATTTTCCCTTATTTAGCAAATAAATCAAAGGCTTCTTTCATTTGCTATTTAGCAATCTTGACAGTTTCAGCACCAGAAATATTGATTTGAGGATTTACCAAACCTATTTTATGCCCTCATATAAAAAAAGATCAAGTCCTAAAATCTCATTTGAATTCCGCAACCAAACAACTTCCTAAATCACATAAAAACATGCAAACCTACTTTTTAAAGTAGATCGCTAGAAAATAAGTATCATTGAGCAACTTCACTTGTTAAAACAAAGAGCATTGAACAAGGCCAAAAGAAATGAACACAAAACAAAACTACTCAAATGTTCTAATGAATCAGAAGCGAATCATTTTTAAGCTAATTCACTACCAGTTTTCTAAACGAGATGATAAAAGAATGCTGTCTTTTCAATAATGTAGATGACAGATTCCTCACAATAAAAATATCATCAAAATAGAGATAAGCATAAAAGCTTAACAATAATGACCTTCTAGGAATGAAAACTCCAACATAGTAACACCTCAAACCTCCATTTTTTTTTAATACCTTAAGCATCCTTGATATTTAGGAACTCAGAAGTAGTTTCCTGAACAAGATTAAGTTTGTAAATCAAAATTTACCTTCATGTTTGATCAAGGATTATTTAGATTCAATGTTGAAACTCTCCGGAATTGCAAAAACTCCTTCATGGTTAACTACAACTACCAATCATTAATCATTGGAAAGCACTAAAAATTTAAGTGGCCATATAGACAAAATTTTAACCTCAAGATTTGTATTTAAATTTTAATTTAATTAAGTATACCATTAGAGCCATTTCACCGATGTTAGAGAGCTCAAGTAAGGTATGGGATGGGAGTCGGATTAGCAACAACAACTCGCCTTACCAAACAATTAGACCAAGATCAAAGGATGGATGGTAAGCATGCTTTCAAGATTAACATAAACTCATTTATTTGTAGAGAATTTTTAGTATCGGGTAGATTAATGTTCATAGATGTGCAATACAAAAAATGTTACGCAAAATGATAATTTTGAAACAAAATGTTGTCCATCCAATTATCAACGTGTCGAGCAGGTGCCTGAAAAACAACGCAGCCCAGTACAATTGTCCTTGTTTTGCAAAGTATCAAAAGAAGAGTAACTGGATTGAAAAATAGAAGAGCGATATAATACCTCCTGAAGCTTATCAAACTTCGTAAAATGACGGCCATATGATGAGTAGCGTGCACCATGTAGAACAGGTGCAAGATATACTTTCAGTTTAACCTGCCAAAGTAAATACTAAACATTTAGAGCAAAAGAATCATTTTTTGTCAAAAATCATCGTTATTACGAATTCAACAAGAAATTTCACAATGTTCAATCTGCATACCACTCAAATATTTAACATCACATCAAAAATAGCACCATCATAATAATTTCATTAATACATTTATACCACCAAGTTGCTATAAGTGTAAATATCAAACTTTGGCTGTTAGGTGTGTAAATAAATAAGAATTTATGCATGTAATTTCCCTAAAAATTAATGATTATCATCAAAGCTCTATTAGAACCAAATATAGCAGAGGTCAATGTGCAAATATGCAAATAAATATGCTCCATGCTGTAAATTTGCTAACATAACTCAACATTCCAGATGCAAGAATCATAACATAAGCTCCAAAAAAATCAGCTGATACAACTAGCTTAAAAACATGGGCAATGTTCAAGCATAATCATTTCATGAAACGTCTTGTATGCATTTATGTGTGTGTGTGGGCGGTTGGTGCATGTACGTGCGTGCATGTGCGTGTACGTGTGCATGTATGTGCGAGCATATGTGAGAGTGAGTGTGGGTGTGCACGTGGGTGCATGTGCGCACGAGTGTGTGTGTGTGTCCTCCAATGGGTCCCAAGCGTTGTCCTTATTCATCAAATGATGCGAGAAATTCGGTCACCTAGCAGAGGAATGATCCATGAACCTCCAAAGACTGACGCGGCATATAGAGCTTGAGAAATTGAGAACTCCATGGTCATGTTGTGGTCGATTAGCTTTATGAAACCGTCGATTAGTCATTCATTTATGTCACTTCTTCTGCTAGTGCCCTCTAAATGGCAGTCTGTGATACCTACTCGGATGCAGGAAACTTCGGCCAACTTTATGAGCGAGAGGTAAAACACGGATTAAGAACCGTGACCCAGTACTACAATGACCTGGTGGCACTATGAATGAAATGAGACTTGCACTACGACTACACTTGGAACTCTCCAGCCCACCTTTCTCTCTTCAAAAAAAAATTGAAGAAAATGAACACATGTTTCAATTCCTGCAAGGCCTCAACAAAGAGCTTGACAAAATCTGGGGCCATATTTTTGGCCAGAATCCTCTTCTTCCGCTCGTACTACTTTCATTGAGATCCGCCACGAAGAGAACCGTAAACTTGTCATGCTCAACACTTCCACCCTTCAATCGAATCGTCCACCTCGGTCTCTAATAGTACTTAGCCCTCTCAGGCAAGTCACCCCACTTGTGATTACTATCACACAAACCAAACCACGCTCGTGACAAATGTTGGAAGTTCAACGAAAAACAAGCATATAAATCCTCGGCCAAATCTTCTAATGCTAAAGATCTTAATAGGACATCAATCTACCAAGATTCAACTGGCTCGTCCCCAGAATATTATGGAATCTTCCGACACTCTGGAAAGTCAGATGGAGCGCTTAATCAAGCTATTTGGATCCAATCAGTTCTCTGTTGGCCTGTCAACCTCCCAGGTCCGTCAAGGTACTATCCTTATGGTACTCATATTTTTTTCATCTTCTAGTCCATGAATCATTGATTCAGGTGCCACAGACCATATGAACGGTTGCTCGCAAGCTTTCTCAACATTTTATCCATGTTCTGGAAAAGATACGGTCAGAATTGTAGATGGCTCCTATAATTCTATTGCTGATAAAGAATCTGTTATTCTAATGATTGATCTAACTCTGAAATTTGTGTTACATGTACCATTCTTAAAGTGTAGTGTTTTATCTGTCAGTAAGTTGACACAAGACATTGATTGTATTGCTCATTTCTCTCCTGATGATTGTGTTTTTTTTGGATCAGCGTTCGGCAGAATGATTAGAACTGCTAAGCGAGTAGCTGAACTCTATTACTTCCAAAGAAAAACATGGAGAATGAAGATATCGAGTATTTGTAATCTATCTCGAGTCATTGAATGTCTCATTATATTGATACATTGTCATTTGGGTATCTTAGTTTCCAATAATTAAAACATTTGCATCCATTGATTTTTTTAATCAAAGTCTATCTAGTTTTAAGTGTGAGACGTGTCAGTTAACCAAACATCATCGGGTTCATTACCTACCCCACACTTGCGCACCTTCCATTCCTTTTTCACTGATTCACAGTAAAGTACGGGAACCCTCACGCACTGCCAGCTACATTAATAGATGGTAGTTTTTTTTATTTTAATTGATGATCACACTCAGATGATGTGGATCTATATTTTAAAACACAAATCGAAAGTTGCTATCATTTTCCAAAACTTTTACAACTTCATTTAACCCAATTCAAAACTTTTACAACTTTATTTTAAAACACAAATCGAAAGTTGCTATCATATTCTAAAAAAAACATTTCTCGGCCACTGTTTGATGATTTGAAATTTAAGTTGAGCATGATTGACATCAATGCTTGAAAGGGAGTATTAGAATATTAAAATAATAACAACAATCTCTAGTCGTTATTAATATGCAAATTTTCTTTTATTTGTTATTTGCTTTCCTATTTCCCTTTATTTTGTTTTTATTTCTTTCCATATGAGTGCCCCTTGTAATTGGCTTATTCCCTTTTTTTATCAATAGGATATACTGGTCTACTCCAATATTTCAACAATAAATATATATATATATATATATAGAATGTTATAAAAATGGCGTCTTCCTCTGGTCAATCTCGTTGCCTCTGTCGTGCAGTCCTTTGTCGTTGTCGCCGATTGGAAGGGCAGTTTCCGCCGTAGTCCTTCGTCGTCTTCGTCTTGGTTTTCGTTTCTCGCCGCAAGCTTTCCTCCCTGCTTTCGTCGTGGACGTTCCTAAACACGGGCTGCAGAGAGTTTGGTTTCCTGCTCAACTTGGAAAAGGCCGTTTGATCCCCCTTTCAACTTTTGTTCTTCCGTTTACTGTTATTTCGATGTCCTATCGTCGCGCCTGTCATTTGGTAATGGCTTCCGACATATCGTATGTTGCTGCCCTTGCGGGCGTTCATGCTTCAGGTGCTTACATTTCCCTCCTTTTGAGTTGGCTGAGGATATCAAGAAAATATGGTAGGAAGAATGGGAAGCCAGCTATATTTTTTACAGAAGCTGTATGTAATCAGCTTGCTTCCTCCTGTAGTCTGAATTTGGTCAAAAAAATTTTTTATCGCCATCCTAAAATAAAGTTTATTATGAAGGAATTTGAGTTTATGCACCTTGTTAGGGATTGAAAAATTAGTTTTTTAGATGAAAGACACATCTTTATTCAAATTAATAAAAAAGAGGATTACACATGCTTATTTAATAGAAGATTAATCTAGATCAATAACAAAGCTATGAAAATTTTGAAATGGTCGGTGGATTTTGATCAGCAGACGAAGCCACCAATCATTTCATTATTTTATTAAGAATGTCTTGTATTCTATTGCTTCAGCCTATGGTAAGCCGCTCAAAACAAACATTCCTACATTCAATCTTTCTCGTCCCTCTGAAACCAGGGTACTTGTTGAAAAGAACATATTGCTTCTGAGGAAATTTGGTTTCAACCTCTGTGAGAATAAGAACGGGCTTTCAATTTTTTCCCCCAATTTTTTTATGAAGCTGTGATCACCACCATCTTCAAGAGCATCGTGAAAATATTGAGGAACATTGCCTAAACATGCTGAAATACAAAATATCAGGTGGCTAGAGAGCAACCCAATTTGGTTTTGCCTCTATATCTGGTTCTACGGAAGGAACAAGCTAATAATTTGGTAAGATGATTGGCATTGTCAGTGGTAACCAATGTATCATTCAATATGTTCCCTAGCTGGAGTCGGCCTCCATTCTTCTTCTTCCTCCTTCTTCCTCCTGGAATATACTCCTGGAATATACTTGTCATTCCTCTTCCAAAGATTGGCTCACCTGATCTTGATCTACCGTGTGTTGGAGATGTGCAGATTGTTGAACATTAAAAGCAGCAACATGTTGTACCGGCTAATCTACTATTAGATCAAAGAAGCACTCTCATGTGTCTTGGCATGTGAGGGAGTTTTCTTCAATAACAGTGGGTGGTATAAGCACAATTGGATCTATAGCTGTAGTATATTGTTCTTCATCAGGAACTATGGTATTAGGAAGAGGACCGGGTTGCGTCTTCTCAACTTGGACAATAGGTGGTTGTTCTTTAGTGATATTCGGTCATAGATGAAAATGTAAATGATAGCAAATAGCAGAGTTGTGGCCAAACATACTACAATCAAAGCAATAAGGAGGGTGTGGTTCGATTTCAACCTTTTGTCAATACCCGTTGTGAGTGATTTCAATTCACACCTAATCTGAAGCTGGTTGAGTGATCTCTCTCAAGTAACACACAAGCCACAGAGGGTCTGGTGACAGCAAGCGTAAGACTATCAACCCTGAGAGGCTTACCGTAAGCAGTTGCTAAGGAGTAGAGAATTTTCAAATTGAACAGATGTAATTTTAACCCCGAAAATTTTATCCAAACTGGAATGATAGGGGACTCCGCCTTTGGGTCGAAATCAACGTTCCACTTCAGAATTTTCATATAACGGTTGTCGATCTTGATAACTTTTCGAGAAAAGATGCGGGTATAATCAACATCATGAGACAACTGAATCAGTATGTATCGACCGTCAAGTAAACCAATATTTCAACTGCCCAATAGTTTCAATGCCTCAAACTCTTTCCGAATGATCTCCAATTTTGGGTTACCATAAAAAAAATTTCCCACTAGAGCAAAACGCCAAGAGGACGCGAGAGTATTGGTTTCAACCTCTGTGAGAATAAGAGCAGGCTTCCTATTTTTTCCCCCAATTTTTTATGAAGGTGTGATCACCACCACCTTCAAGAGCATCGTGAAAATATTGAGGAACATTGCGAGATTTACCTATACGAAAATCAGACTCTGATTCTGAAAGAGGAGCACGAGTAGAAATCGAGAGGTCGCCGACAAGTGCAGTAGCATAAGAACGGATAGCCATCTCTACCAACAAGATTCTGTCGGACAGGAAGCAGGGAGAAGTCGTCTGAAAGGAAATGCGAACAGAGTAGTGCGAACGCGACCAAGCAAGCAGAGCAGTAGCTCTGTCGCCAGACCGAGATGAGAGGACTGCGAAGGAGGCGTCCTGGACAGACGAGGACGCCATCTAGAAGGAAATGCGATAACTCGGCCTGCCTCGTCGTCTGGATGCGAAGACGGGACGCGAAGACACGAGCACCCGTCGACGAAGACGAAGCAGGGAATACGCGAGCACCCGTCGACGAAGATGAAGCAGGGAATAGAAATGGGAGATCCGTGTAGCAGAAAACTAGGGTTCGCCATGAGGCGAAACCCTAGCAAAGGGAATGAAACCATGCCGGCTAAATATATGGCTTCCTCAAATATATATATATATATATATGATATATATATGTGGAATTCATTTGTACAGCATTAAGAGACTATTTCGATGATTCTAACTTGTGACCTTAAAAACATTGAGGGAGCAACCTTCAAATATTTCAATGGCACGCCCAAAAGATCTATAAAATGTCATTTCCATATAAGTTGGTCATGAAAAAAAGAAATGCACGTAAATTAGGAATTGCGTACAACTGACACTTCTTGCATTTGATGACTGTGATAAAATTGGATTCCCAATTGGTGCTAAAAGTCATTGATCCTTTGCATTTTGGAATGTCCAACCGCCATGATTATCATTGGTCTATATTTGTACAACTAAAATTCCCTTCTATGAGATAGAAAAACCCTAATAGCTGGTGACGGAGGCATTAAAATTGCAAAAAGTAAAAGACCATGATGTCGCTTCTAAAAATCTGAAGACAAAAATTGTAACCTCTGGTAAAAGTTGGCGGCATAAGCGTAATTTAACTAATAAAAGAGTTAAAACAAAATGGCAACAAAAAAATAGGAATGCAGTAGTATAACAATTTGGCTGAACCTTAAACTTATAATGATATGCAAAGGTTCAAAACAAAGGCGCATATGAGAGGGCGTGACATCAAAATTAAAATAGCAAAACTAGCATGTACACAAATGAAAGCAAAGTTACACTTTATCATGATAATGTAAGGTTTGGATATCGCAAAAGTAGCCTTTAAAAGGGAGAACAATTTCAATAGCAATTAAAAACAGCAGAAAATGCATACATTCCACTTGATTAAACGCTTAAGAATTTCAGGCTCGCACACAGCTTTAGCATCCTCCACATTTCCACCTCCTTCTAATTTCTCCAAAGCAGTGCGAACAGCCTACAGGAACCAAACAAATGATTGGTTAAAACTAATAAAAGAAAATTAAGAAGATCGATACCACAATATCTTCTTAGCTTCAGAAAACATGCCTCAATTGCACCCTCAATTTTTCCAAGTGTGATACTCTTATCAATCTGTCCTGCAGAAGATCCATAAGTGGAAGGTCTTGAGAGCATTTTCCGGATGTCATCTTGAGTTAATGAAGATGATTCTTCTTCCACTAAAGAAAGAATACTGCAATTTAGCAAATAAAAAATAAAGATTCAGAACCACCATTCTATTCCATCCGATCCTCTTTTAACAAGAAAGGAATCAACATTTAGATTTCACCTAAGCATTCATATTTATGTGTATACCACACAAATCTTTAACATTGCATTAAAAATACCACAATCACGTCTCTTATAAGTAAAATACATTTTTCATGCATAAGTTTATGACACTAAAGTGTTATAAACGTAAATATCTGTAGAAACGTTGAGAAAATTGTATTCACTTATTCCTTAGTGATCAAATCATAACTCTCTCCTTCTATAATAAGTAAAGGCTAGGCCAAACTTAATTCCTAGTAGTACAATTTACCAAAGGCAACTACTTAAAAAGAAAAGAAATACAACATAACAAGAAAAGAATAAATCTAAAATAAGAAATTTAGAATTTCACACTACCCCTCAAGCTAGGTCATAGATGTTGTAAAGACTCAGCTTGATATTCAAATCAGTGAAGCTGTCTGGAGGTAGAGATTTAGTAAAGATATGAGCAACTTGAAGATAGTTGGAATTTAGATCAAGTCAAAAAAACCTTCATTGACCTTCTCAGAGATAAAATGTCTATCAGTCTCAATGTGCTTGGACGTGTCATGATGCACGAGATAATTTGCAATACTAATGGCACTTGGCTGTCACACACATCTTTATGGGATTGACCGTGGAGTATCCCAACTCATTTGGTAAACTTTGGATCTACATTCCTTCACAAATTCTCAAAGAGCCTGATACTGAGATTCTACACTACTTTTAGAAATTATTATTCCTGTTTTGCTCCTCAAAGTGATAAGATTTCCAGAGACATAGGAGCAATCCGAGAGGTGGATCTTCTGTCCATGAGTTCTCCTATCCAGCTAGCATCAATGTAAATCCCTACCTCCTTGTTGTCTTATTTATTAAACATTGACCTACTATCGGGGGTCTTCTTAAGAAAGCCTCAATATTTTGTAAACTATCTTCAAATATTCTTCATTTGGATTGTCTATTTGTTGACTCACTATGTTGACAAAGTGATATTAGGTCTAGTATGTGACAAGTAGACAAGCTTACCGACCAATCTCTATTATCTACATTTTTCGAATGGTGTCTTCTCTACCCTTGATTACAACTTTTTGCTGAAATCCCTAGCAATGTCAGCAAGTTTGCACCTCAGCATTCATGTTTCTTTTAGTAGGTCTAAGATGTACTTTCTTTGGGATATCACATCACCTATTTTGGACTTGGCCACTTTCATGCCCATAAATTATATCAGTGGCATGAACCTTCTTAATCTTCCCAATCACTTTCACATCATAACATATCAAAACCATGTCGCATATAAAGACAATGAGTATAGTTTTCTTACCTCCATGTGTATGCTTTATGATTATGTACGATTTACTTGGCATTGAATGTACCCATTAAATTTCATGACCTTAGAAAACTTGTCAAACCAAGCCCTTGGTGTTTGTTTGAAGCAAAAAGTGACTTTTTAATTTACAAACATGATGATTATTTGAGTCATTTTTCAGTCCTAGCGGGATCTCCATATACACTTTCCTCAAGATCTTCATCAAAAAAAGCATTCTTGATATCAAGTTGATGCAATTCCAATTCTTTATTCATTACCATGGAGATAAGAACTCTTACAGTATTTAACTTAACCACTAGAGCAAAGATCTTTTAATATTTTATCCTATAAGACTGAGTGAAACATTTGGCCACCAACCTAATCTTGAACCTCTCAATGCTACCGTCTGTTTCGTACTTAACATTGAGCACCCATTTGCATCCAACACATCTTTTATCTGGAGAAACCTTTGTAAGGGTCAACATGTTATTTAGATGAAGCGCTTGGGTCTTTTCCTTAATTGTTCTTTTTTCGTTGTGAACTGTAAAGTGTTTCGTTAATAGACTTGTCTATCTACACACTATCAAGATTAGACACAAAAACTCTATAAGTTGATGATAACTTCCCATAGACAACATAAGCTTGAATTAGACAACTTCTGCAACTTTCTCTATCTTCTCCACTGCACTCTCCCTCCTTTGGAGCCTCAAAGATGTGTGAGTTCAGATTTGATTGTGAAAAGTCTTGTAGCTGCACATTGTCTTTATCCTGCTCAGTAGATCTCTTTCTCCTAGTATACACACAAAATTCCTTGTTGTCAATCTCATGTTGGATGTTCTCAACTGGTGGAACTTGGAAGATAGAAAGGTTAGAAGGAAGAAAAATAGGATACAAATACTCTAGATCAGTGTGGATATCCAGAGTACTGTAGAGAAGTAGAATATGTTGTAAAGACTCTAGGTCAATGAGAGAATCCAAAGTAGTGTCTCAAGTCTGTTATTTACTCGAACCCTCCATTCGAATATCAAGTTTTAAAAGAATGGAACATCTATGGAGTTATAATATTTGTTTAATATGGGAAAATAGCATTTATAACCTTTTTGTTAGAAGAATACCTAAGGAAGATACATTTGATGGATTTTGGGTCAAGCTTTATGTTATTTGGTTGATGAATGTGAAAAAAAAATGACCAAAAAATTTTAAATGAAAAGCCTCTAACATGATGGTATTTTCCATCATAAAATTGAGAGGGGCTTTGAATCTAATAATCTTGTTTAGCATTCTGTTAATGAGGTGGATGGCTATGAGCATGACATCTACCCAAAAAAATTTTGGGACTTTGAGAGAGAACATTATAAATCAAGACAACCCAAATAAAAAATGTTTCACTCTTGATGGTCCCCAAAGGTCATTATGGATGATAAAGAAATGATGTGAGGGTTTGTACTGGGACAGATGATAGAAATGACGAATATATTTAGAAATTTGGTAGGTTTCACAGCGATAAAACTCTAATTTTTTTATTAATTAGAAAGATAAAGGTACAACTCTGCAACATAAAAAAAAATTGGAATGCTCAGATGATAGTGTCATAATAAAAATTGATTTTCAATAAACTCATACATGATTGACTCGAGAAGAAGGGTACAACTTTTGCATGAGCTTGTTGTAGCTCCATCTTAAACAACTCAATAACTCTAATGTCAACTTTTATCTTCACAAACTTATAGAGCATCGCCATCATCATCAATTCATGCTCGGATTTTCCAACAAAAGTGTGTTTGTAACCTCTGCAACTGGAGCTAATTTTTTTGTCTCAAAGCTAAATGAGTAGGTGCAAGCCAGCTCTCGATGGCAAGGGTTTGCAACTCCATATGTTGCACAGCAAGCCTCTATTCTATAACATCTGGATAAAGCACACGAGTCAAAGCGCCTTAGTGTTCAAAAAACACTAAGACCAAAACGCTCTGGTTAGAATGTTCCAAATATGGATGTTATCTACGCATATTAAGTGGCATGCAATCATTACTTCCATGGAAACAATTCAAGTATTCAACTCAGCTCGCTATCTACTAGAAGGCAACCACTCACTATCTACAAGCATGAGCGAGGGAGCAAACGACCATGAGAAGTAGAGTGAGTGTAATATGGCAGCTGCAGGAAGATAGGTGGTTGTTACAGAGGAGAAGTCAGTTGTTGTTGTTATTGTTGTTGTTGCTGTTGTTGATTTGACGGCAGAGATGAAAGCAAGGGAAGGCTTGCTAGAAGAATTTGGCGGAGATGAGCCTGCAGCAGTGAAGATTTCTGCTGCAAAAGGAATCCAACGGCAAAGAAAATAGAGGAAGAGGCATGCAGAGAGAATTCTACAAGAGTCAGAGAGGTCGTGCAAGCCGGTTGAAGGTGTTCATGCGAACGTTGGAGAGGTTCCGACAGCTGGAAGAAGCTAGGGTTTGTTCCCACATTGATACCATGTAGAACGGTGGAGAAAATTGCATCCTATTAATTCCTAAATATCAAATTACAACTCTTATCTTTATATAATAAGTAAAGGCTAGGATAAACTTAATTCCTACCATTACAACTTACCAATAACACAAATAAGAAAAGGAAAGAAATAAAACATAATAAAAAAGAAATAAATTGAGAACAAATCTAAAATAAAAAACTCACAATTCCACAATATCAAACTCTGGGTGTTAGCTCTAAAAATACACAATAATTGAGTGGTATGTATGTAAAATTAGCAAAGCATAAATATATATCAAAAACCTGCACAATACAATTGTTTGTATTTGCATGACAAATAACAAGAGGAGAAAATACGTCTTCAAAGGAAAGAGTGAAATTGAACAGTGCCAAAGCTTTTCAACGAATGAAACACAGATGTTTTATGAAAAGAAACACCAATGGAAATTAAATAAACAGTAACAAAATACAGTTTGCATCTATAAAACAGATGTAGGGGAGTTGTGGTAGGTAAGGAAGTATGATATTGGTGCGAGAAATTAAATATTCAGTGGCAAATAAATTAGAAGATTGCCCAAGAAAAAAAGAAAAAACAGCATGATAACAAACTATCAAAAAGGCATTAAATTAGTCTTTCATCGTCCAACCAGACACCAAGTAAAATTGAATACTTAAGTACAATTTAACATTGTCATTGCAAGTCTCAAACTCGGATGAGAAAAGTGGAGGGTTGCGTTAGGTAGTCGACAGCCAACGTAAAACTTGTTGAAAAAAATCATGACATGAATCCTTTTGATTATTGTGCAAGTACTAGGGCGTCCCCTGAATGTGTAAAATAAGCAAGGGTTTCCACATTATGGACGGATGCGGATAAAGAAGTTAGTATATGAAACTAATATTATCATAGGATCTTAGAGTATAGGTACTCTCACTGGTAAATTAATAGAATTGGTTAATATTATGATTCATAGAAAGATAAATATACTATTTGTTCAAGAAACTAAATGGGTTGGAGAAAAGATTAAGGATAATGATAACTTAGGTTTTAAACTTTGGTATTCAGGTAAGAGTCGCACTAGAAATGGTGTAGGTGTTATTATAGATAAGAATTTGAAAGATAATGTTGTAAAAATTGGAGATAGAATTATAACCCTTAAGATTATTGTTGATAC